GTTTTGTCCCGGACGCAGTCACCGCCTTGGATAACCATGACTCGGCGGTCCTATGGATCTCTGCAAACCAAGAGTGGCGGAACATGCGGAAAGCTCTCAACTTATCCCTCACCCACCAACACAAACTCGAAACCCTTCGTGACGTTCGCCAGAGCGTGGTGGAGGGCATGGTGGAGTTTCTTCATCAATCTGGGCGGAAGAAGGTGGCGGTGGATATCGGAAACTTGGCATTTGCGGTGGCGCTCAACCAGATGTCCAACACATGCGTTTCAAAGAACGTGGCCAGCTATGAGTCAGATGATGTAGGGGGGTTCAAGACAGCGGTGAAGACACTGATGGAGGTGGACGGGAAGTTTAACATAGCAGACATATTTCCGGTGTTAAAGCCGTTGGATCCGCAGAAGATAAGGCGGCAAGCGAAGGCTGCTTATGGTTGGTTTGATAAAGTAACAGAAGGTTTCATAAACGAGAGGTTAAAGCATCGACAGTTGAAGCTTCCGAGGTTTGGTGATATGTTGGATTCACTGCTAGACTATAGTGAAGATAAGGAATCCGACTTCAATCTCATACACATCAAGTCTTTATTTGTGGTAGATCCTCCTTTTCCCTGTTTAACTATTATATATCAAAATGCAAGCAAAACACTACCATACAAAAATAAAATAAAAAATAAAAAAAAATAAAAAAACACCCTAAAAGGACAGATTATAAATAATTCCAATGATTGTTAAGAAATTTAGTATCGATAACTTGATATATAACTAGTCAAACATAATATCCCTTGCTGTTACTTTATATATATATATATATATATATATATATATATATATATATATATATATATATATATATATATATATATATATACACTTTAGAGTAACAAATTAATAAATATAAGATTAAAAATGATTGATCAAAATAAAATTTTAAACTGCTAACTCTACTTTTACTTTAAATAATTTTGCTTCTAAGGAGACTTGAACCCCAACCATTGGTATAAAAATCCATTGGTCTAACGAAATTAAATTACAGGATTTGTTTTTAGCAGGAACAGAAACAAGTTCAAACACAACAGAATGGGCAATGACTGAACTACTACTAAATCCTGATATGTTCTTAAGAGTTCGTGAAGAACTCTCAAAAACAATAGGGAAAGATAGGAAAATTCAAGAAGCAAAACTCCTCGACTTGCCTTATTTGCAAGCTGTAATCAAAGAAACAATGCGGCTTCACTTATCAGTACCTTTATTAGCTCCTCACAAAACAGAGACTGAAGTTAAACTCGATAAATATATTGTGCCAAAAAACACACAAATTCTGGTGAACGCATGGTCTATAGCACGGGACCCAAGATATTGGGAGAATCCATTAATGTTCGAGCCAGAAAGGTTTTTGGGAGGTAAGGTCGACTATAAAGGTCAAAATTTTGAATTTTTACCATTTGGTTCGGGTAGAAGGATGTGTCCGGGTATTAATTTGGCTAATCGGGCTGTGAGTTTAATGGTGGCTTCCTTTGTATATCATTTTGATTGGGAGCTTCCTCATGCCAGAAAAGAAATGGACATGAATGATATATTTGGCCTTGTGTTGCTTAGGGCAACACCTTTGGTTGCTACTCCTATACCCGTGATTCCGTGAAATACACAGAAAGGTGAACAGAGGATGAATCTAATATTAATTCTTGTCAATAAATTAAAGTTGTATGTGTGAAGGGTGTAACTCCAATTATTGTGTAAGGTATGGTAAATAATTGTAACCTAAGTGTTTATTACAATAAATTTAAAGATATGATTTGTATATGACTGCGTCTTATTATTTTGTTATGCTATATAATTTTTGGGCAAAATATACAAAACACATGGTATTTTTTATTATTTTAGAATTTTTACCACCAATATACAACCAACAGGGTAAACAAGTCGTTTTTAATCATAAATAAAGATAATTGATTTACAAAATCAACTAATAATTAAGTGGCTAAATCCGTATAATATGGCTAAAACATAAATCTTTTTTTTTTTTTTTTTTTTGTTATTTTGACCATATTCGTATCTTCTGAATTAATCATGATAATATTTGTTAAGAAACATTACTAGACATCATTATCATCAAGATGACCTACTCATGAATCGTGATCAATGTAATATGATATACACATTTTAAAATTTGGTTGATTAAGTTCGAAACTCACATGCTTTAACCCTAGCTAGGCTGACATATCGTTTAAAACATTGACGTATTTTTGATAGCAAAATTCGTTTAGTTTTTCATTGGTAATGCATTGATAGATTTGCACATGTAAAATCGGTTGGTAGAAACACGTAGGTAAATTTTACTGGCCAATTTTCAATGAATATTTTTTAGTTACAGATTTCCGATACTACAAGTTACCCAAGGAAACATTAGCTAGGAAACACTAACTATGGTAACGGATAGAACTGAAATTCAAATTTTTAGTCATAATTTTTTGACAGTACCATTTACAAATGTTTTTTTTAAACATTTGTAACTGAACTCAAATCCATATTTTTTCTGTATTATATACATGGATCTATATTTTGTCTCCCTTAACTAACCTATACATCAACTTGATGTGAAAATGCACTCCTACACTTTGATCTTAATAAGGTTGTATATATCAAAACATATTTCTCTTTATATGCATCCTCTATTTCCCGACCATTTAGCTCAGCTTCATAAGGCTTGGTATGGTCTTAACAAGCCCCCATGCTAGGTACCAATACTTTGTTATTTACATTGCCTTTTTGGCTTTAAAAGAAGTTGATCTAATATGTATCTCTTTATATATCATCATGGAACTGGTACCATATACTTACTTCTCTATGTAGATGATGTAAATATTATTGTATTATAAACAAAGGTCATGTCTTGAATCAAATATAAGTTTCCTATGTTCAAATTAGTATCTTTTTTTTTCTATGGATTCCTACTACTTGTAACTCCTTTATTTTGTTCATCTCTTAATCCTCTTTTATTCAAGAGATCCTTTTTCCTGCCTCTATGAACATGTGCAATCCATGCTACACATCGACATACTAAAATCCTAAGCTCTTCTGAAGGCAAACCTACATCGGATCTGACCCTATATATTTGTTGAAGTGCAAATCGAGATCAAAGAAACAAATCAGTGTAATATCAATATGAATGAACACGATGAGTAAATATAATCTTGTTTCAACTCAATATACTTCACAATTTTTAAAAAGAGTAAAAAGACAAGTTCTGTAAAAAGACTCTTATCTAACTCTAAGTAAAGTCCCTATTTATAGGAGACGTGAAAGTATACAAAAAATACTAAGGCATAGACATTTAAGCCTCAAACATAAGACACCTTAGTAAATAGATAACAAAATATACGAAGGGTACATATTTTGACTCATTACAAAATGACTTCGACCCTTACAATCTCCCCATTTGGAATGAAGTCGAATCCTCTCAGGTTGTGAGAATCTGGATGGCATACATCATTACCCTTCGAATTTCCGTGTACCAATATATAATCTTCTTCATCTCCTTCTTGTCCCCTTCATTATTTTTCTTGAAATTATTCATACGAACAATGAAGTTCGTATATTGCGACATTGTATATCTCTCAACTTCGCACGCTTGAAACAAAAATCTTTTGGCTTTTCCAGCTTTGTCCTTCCCAGCAAAGACCATTCCAAATGGTTTTAAACAAATTTCTCCATCATCATATTTCTCCAACTCTTGTTGAGACTTGATCGGTTCCTTGGGTACTTTAACATCTAATACATTCACTGTTGCAAGCTCCACACCAGTAAGAGCCAAACACTCATAGCAATTCTTCAGAAAGATCTTGATATGAACAACTCCCAGTCGAAAAACTTCAGGATCAGTCTCTCGAAGGTATGAAGAATTTTTGTCTTTCAATAGTAATGCAACTTGTATAAGATCATACAAGTTCATCAGAGGAAAATATGAAACAGTGAAATCATAAGTTTGACCATTTGCCCTTGCAACAACATATCTCAGATTCTGCATCATATTTTCAAACAAAATATCCATCTTGATGCTAATCACTTTCTTGATTATGATTAATGACCAAATTTCCTCTGGAGCTTTAGACAGAACAGCATCAAAATGAAGTTTCATGTAATTGTAGTCATCTTCACTCTTTAATTTATCAAAAAAAATTGAACTGAGGCATTAGGACCATCATCACATTGATTGGAAAGTCAAGCTGGCTTGCATCTGTATTCGAAACCACATAACTCTATTTTGGTTTCTTCTTGAATGCATACATATGATTGAATGCCACATTTGCTTCAATCATCTTGTAATTGTAATGTTTTGCAGGATCTCCTTTGTTCAAACTAGGAGGATCACTTGCTCTTTGCCTCATTATACTTTGAACTACTCTCAATTTTTCAATTTCAGCTTCGGCCTCAGCTTTCTTCTCCTCCTTCGATTTTTCAACAACAATCGGCTCCCCTTTGTCTGTTGAGCTTTCTATACCAATCTTTGCTTTCAAAGAATCACCTTGACCAGTAGATGAACCAATTATAATCCCCTTCATGATTGAATTTGTGATTGGCATTGACGTCACAACTGTTGAAGTAACTGGCCCAGCACTCGAAATTGTTGACTTAGTCGATGGAAGTTTCGAAGGATAAATTTTTCCAACAACTTTAATTTCTCTATGCGAAGCATCACCCTCAACCTTTGCATGAGAAGCTTCTCCAACTTTCTTCTCTCCCCTTGCACCCCTGTGCGAACAGTTGGGGCACCCGTTGGCAGAAGATTCGATATTTGAGATAAGGGACCCAATTGCTTATGCAGAATAGCTTCGAATTGTGAAAATTTCTTAGAGAGAAATTACGGAGTAATTATCGGGAAGCAGGCTTGAGCACTGAAGCTTTTAATTCTTTTAACAACGAAATAATCTCTCCAAACTGTTGCTTATCACTTGTAGAAAGTTGAGTAATTTGAGGACTCAAGCTTTCGTACAACGTGACATACTACGTTACTGAATCACAAATAATGTCAACTTTCTTATGCAGAGTGGCATAATCATGGTGAACAATTGCAAATTCTCTAATCATATCATCACAAAGCTCTTGAAGCTTAAAGTTGACATATTTTCTAACCTTCTTCATATTAAAAAAAATAATGTATGTTGTTCTTTCTGAACATTTGTTAATTCCTTAACTGCCCCTAAAAACTTTAAACTTAACGAATTCACCCATAACTCTGTTGTGTGATCATCATTATCCACTTTCTCTAAGATTTTTGATTCTGATTCTTTAACCATACCCGGAATTTTGCTGACCATTCGGGCTTCGAATGCCTTCATCATACCATCAAGTTCAAAACTAGACACTGAACTTCCTCCCCCAATATTTGCTTGAGATTGAATAATAGAATTCAACATTTTATTCAAAATTTTGAACTGTTTCATAGACATCAGAATATGGTTAGGGAAGTCTTCCTCTTCTTCATCAAATGCTAAGGCTTTAAATGTGCCTCCAAAACCATCTTCTTCATTATCACACTCGTCCATTGGTTTTGGTGGATCAGTGGATTGGGATGAAAAAATTGAAGTGAAGGGTTCGTTGATTATGTTTTCAAAAGGTGGCTGACTCAGTGGTAGAAGGGGTAGGTATAGTGTATGGAGGTAAAGAGACAAAAGCACTGGAAATAACAACAGGAGTACCTTGGGAAGATGTGTGAGCTTATTGTTGAAAATATCCTTCACCCATATTGATATATACATCTTTATCAGATACGTTTGTAGTGATGTATGAAGTTCGTACCTCTTCAAAAAATGATTTGGCAGACGAAACTTTGGGTAGTATGAAGACAGTCTTCTCAGGAGATGAAGGTTCAATGATTGGAATAGCTACGGGTGTTTCAGGCACATCTTCGTATTCAGAAGATTGCGTAGAAATAACAAGTTGCCTCTCCTTTGTCTTCTTTTTCTTCTTTGAAATCCTTTTTGCCATATCCTCAACTATTCATTTCTTTGATAAAGGACAAACAAGAGCTGGAACTTCTCGCATAATGACCCCTTGATGAGTAACGTGATGTTTGCGAACCATACTTGATGTTGGAAAACCACCATACTTCTTCTTCAGTCTCCGAAAAACTACAATCTTTGATGGAATAGTAACTGAAGTTCGTTCTTCAACAAAATGTTCAATAGGTTCAACTTGCTTGACCAAAACATTCGAAACTTGGTCATCTTGCTTTGTTGTTTTCTTAGGAGACTTCGTTTTCTTGAACTGTTGACTCAGGAATAATGATCACATGCTTCTTTGATGACCTGGATTTCTTCGAAGGACCAACATCTTCTTTGGTCAATAACTTCCCAGTTTTAATTTTGGGATCAATGGTCGTCATATATTCGATAACCAGAGAATTTTTCAGATCAACACGTTTCAATATTGCATCAGGAATTCGTGCAATATGTGTAAAAAACGCAGCATCATCTGAAACTTCCTTTGGAAAGTGATATCTCATAAACTCAGCTGTCTCGTCATCATCAGACACCTGAATCCCTTCTTTATTGTACAAATACCTAAGAATAAGACTCCAATATCTTGCACACGATATACCTTGTACGACATTCGTATTTTCGACACTTTTCTGGAAATCCTTCCACAACTGTGTAGAGTAATCCATCGGTATATCATAATAAACTCCTGCAACCATGGCGTAAAATTCCATTCTCCCTTTATCAAGACCCACATTGCGACCAGTCAAGCAGCGTAAAAATATTCCAAATAGAAAATTCCAGACAGTCAGAAGTCCAGACTACTTAAAGTCACTAATCTTGGTGAGTGGGGGTTGATGACCCATCTCATTGACCATATAATTAACTCGGGCAAAAGAAAGAGAAATGAAGGTGGGGTGTTTGGAATTTCTAGAATTTGACAAAATAACTTCTTTTTCAATCTAACCTTCTTGTTACTTAGCAGATTAAAGGTAATGACATCTAGAGCTTTGCTGTATGTTGCAGCTGATCCTGCTATCGAGAGCTAGGAAAGAGGAACAACAAAAGAGTTAAACATTGCAGTGGAAAGAACATAACACTTTAGAGCAACCACCAACATCCTTAAATCATCAAGATAAAGAGATACATCTTCTTCTACTTGGTAGTTGGTTCCTTGTATCTTCATGATTGGTTGAGATGTAATGTATTCTGTAGCTTGGGACGGTGCATCAACATTTTCTTGATTAGCCATGAGTAGAATATTGAAAGCTTCAAAAGAACAAATTGATTTTGCATATAGAATTTGGGAAATTTTCTTTTGAAAGCAAAAACTGATCAAGAACCCTTGAATCCCCTTTTATATGTATCCTTGAAGTTTGAATTTGAAGCGGGACACGCATTAAATGAAATCTAATGTGGCACCTTGAAACTCGCACCACTATTCCGATAAAGTAGCCACGCATGAAAAAGTAACTGTCACTTCTCCTTGAAACCCATATAGAATACAAGACGTTTGTTCAAACAGCCTGCTCATTTCTCCCAATAGATTTGTAACCATCAGCAACCTTCGGATGGAGGTAAGACTCTTTCACTTTTAGGATTGAAAGCGAAGTCATGTGACAAACGTTCTAAATCATCAACCTGAGTTGGTATAACTCAGAACCTCAAGGATTTCATGAGTGCAGTGTTCTAAAGAAAAAGATAAGAAGCAAATAAAAAAACTTTGGATTTGTGATGTCAAAATCATTTTTATATGAAAGCAGTTAAACCCCGAGCAAAGGTTACTTTGTTAATTATCAAGAGATATAATCAAATGCTTGTGTAGTTTCTCGTGAATTACAATTGACAACTTATAGAGAAGTTTCGAAGGGCTTCTTTTCCAAGGCTTCATGGGTTGGTTTCACAATTTTGTTACATATCATCCTTACCATAAGGTGAGTAATTGCAACAGAAATTATTTGTTTGACCAGTGTAGTCAGTGACAAGTATGCTTTGGATTAATGTTGAAAATGACATGAAAATCAACTGAAACTCACACGGAAATCATATTCAAAGAAAAAAATTTGTGTTGGATCTTGTTGGGTAACAAACATCGTGGGTTTCGATAGTTTGATCAAGATCACTCATACGAAATAAATATGATTTGGAGTTTCAAATGTGGATACTGAAACAAAATGTTTCATTAAAAACTGAAACAAAGTTCCCCGTGAATTCCTTAAAAAATTTAGAGAACTGGATTTCACTTCCATCACGGTCTCATGATGTCGGATCATAAACACAGATTGTTGATATATCTAAGTCTCGATGGATTTGATCAGAGACCTCTTGGATATATGTCTTCATGTGTGAACATGTAAGAACTTTCAGATAAAAAAGATTGGTTTAAGAAACAAAATGTACCTCTGTTATTTCGGACAAAACAATAAACTCTTAACTCATGTGAGAAGAGTCAAGTAGCTCATGTGACTAATGTGAATACAAGCCTATCTTGGGAAGAAATTTGCATATGAAATATTTCATTAAGGCTTTCGTTAAACACACATAGAGTCAATAGAGGCTTTGTTCAACATGCTGCAGCATGCTTCTAGGGATATCCTAACTAGTACATAGGATTCGAAATATCTACCTGGCCCTAGAACTGCAAGCATCAACCATTAAGATTCATCTTTGATTTCTAAAACACAACGCTAGAACAAAACTATACAAAATAAAATATTTTTTTGATTATTGATTTTTCGAAAATAAAATAGAAAACAAAAAAATTATATTTGTTGTTTTTGTATTTTTCGAAAAAAATGACAAAACAAAGGAAAAATCGTTTTGTTGTTTTTGTATTTTTTTCGAAAAGAAATGACAAAACAAATGAAAAATCTTTTTTTAGTTTTTGTATTTTTAGAAAAGAAAATCAAATTAACAAAAATATTTAAAAAATACCCGACACATGAAATTTTCAGCTCCAATTTTCAAAAACAAAGGGTATCAAAGCATTGACTATGAACAGTAACCGTTGAATTTTGATAGCTGTCCATTTTTGCTATTCTTTCAAAACAGAATCCCCTTCGACCAGTCTAATTCCTCCTACAATTATCATGAATGATTTTTCATCTAAAGGTTTTCTAAAAATATTAGCCAATTGATCAGTAGTTTTCACAAAATGCACTTAAGTGTTAGCATCCTCCACAAGAACTTTTATAAAATGGTAATGAAGCAATATGCTTGGTCTTCGAATGTTGCACATGATTATGACAAATATGAATTACACTTTGAGAATCACAATATAATGGGATTCTCTTCATATTAATTGCATAATCACGCAATTGACTTTGAATCCAAATTATTTATGATGTGCAAGGTGCAGCAGCAACATATTCTGCTTTAGTAGTCGAAATAGAAACACATGCTTGCTTCTTCGATTGCCAGCTCACCAATTTCCCATCAAGTAATTGACATCCTCCACTCATTCTTTTTCGATCAAGATTGCAACCACCCAAATCAGCATATGAGAAAGCTTGAATAAAAAACCCTGTTTTCGAATGATACCACAATCCTAACGAAATTGAGCCTTTGAGATAACGAAAAATATTCTTGACTGTAGTGTGATGTGGTTCTCGTGGATTTGATTGGCACCTAGCACAATTACACACAGAAAACATGATATCAGGTCTACTTGTTGTGAGATAAATTAACGAACCTATCATGCTTCAGTAAAGAGTTAAGTCAACTGCTGGTTTATCTAACGAAGATGTAAGCCTTGTTCCATTTGTCATTAGTACGCGTAATTTTTTGCTATTCATCATTTCAAACTTTTCAAGCAGATTCTTCGTATGTTTTTCTTGGTTGATAAAAATTCCTTCTCTACATTGATGAATATTTAGACCAAGAAACTTATTAATCTTTCCCATCATGCTCATCTCAAATTTGCTTTTCATCATATTTTCGAATTCATTAGACAAAGCAGGGTCAGTAGAGCCAAAAATAATATCATCGACATAAGCTTGAACAAGCATAAGATGATTCCCAACTTTCTTTCAAAATAATGTGGGGTCAACTGATCCTTGTTTAAATTTTGACTGTTTTAAGAAAGTGGTGAGAGTTGCATACCAGGATCTTGGTGCTTGTTTTAACTCATAAACTTCCTTATCTAAAATATAACAATAATCAGGATGATCTTTATTAACAAAACTTGGGGGTTGAACCACATATATAGTTTCTTCGAGTTCTCCATTCAAAAATGCACACTTCACATCCATTTGATAAACACAGAAATATTTGTGAGTTGCATAAGTGATGCAGCGCAAAAAAACCAAAACAAAAAAAACCAAGAATGAACCTGTTGATTCTAAAAGAATAGCCATGATAATCTATTCAAAACCACGTTGATTCTACGAATATCGTGGGATTGGCTTCAAAATCTGGGTTAAACACACACATAATTTGGGAGAAAATTGAAAGTTCATAAAATTGATGATCGACCATCCACATTACATCAAAAACAGTTAAATAAGAAGCAGAAATTAAAATAAAACCCTAAAAGTCCATGGGCCAAATACAACCCCAAAAACAAAACCCACAAATTAAGGAAAAATAACAAAATTGTTCATAACTCCATTTAGAAAGCGATTTCTGGACTCAAAAATGGGTAAGTCCCCTTCGGGTACTTATCTAGATGTGCTCCTTGCTCCAAGCTTCGATTTAACTGGTCGTAGGCCCGAAACGGAGATTCGTAGCCAAAGTTATGGCCATTTCCGTGAAGCCCCTTTAGTCACACGATCGTGGGCCTCTTGGAATGCAAGGGCCCGATCCTCCACACTAGGGCCCACATCATCCCCTCCTGGGTAGACAACATTCGACCTCGAATGTGCACCACAGTCATCATCAGAAGAATCCCCATAATAAGGAAGCAAATGCTTTACATTGAAAACATCGGAACAACGAATGTCGCTTGGCAACTGTAGACGATAAGCATTAGAATTAATCTTCTCCACAATCTTAACCGGTCCAATCTTCTTA